GACTACATCCAAAAAAACTAATTCAATTCAAACTAAATGGATTAATAATATTGCACATGCCAATATTTAGCAGAAACTGGTTGATACAGTTATTGTCGATTTTATAATTGATACAGTTCAGGCAATGTCATTAATTGAATTCATCATTTACCATGATGATTAAAACTCTATACCCTGGTACAACAATTTTTTGTCGCCAGACACTAATGATTGAGATAGCAAACAAAGATGCCTAGATAGAACCATAAAAACGACATCCACTGATAATTTTTTCGAAATAAAGGATACAAGTAAAATAGAAATCCCCTATATGCGTTTTTTAAATCTATACAAATGAGTATTTTTCCTATATTAAAGAAAATATATATATAATAAAATACTGCCTTGCTCTCAAGTGCTGATGTTAAGATATTATTTAGTAAAGCGAAATTTATATTTTCTGATCGTCGTTCTAGGCTTGGGGATGATAGTATAGAAATGATTTTATTATTAAAATGCAAAAATAAAATAAAAATGAATATTACAATAAATAGTTAATTATTACATAAATTATAGACATTTTACATAAATTTTTTTATAATCAAAACGAACTATATTTAATAGATGTTGATTTTTATGTATTATATACTATGTAATTCCTAAGTGTAGCCAGAATTTTCCTAAGTGGGTGGGAGAGGGGGGGGGGTAATTATAGAAATTTTTAGGGCTTCGCCTCCAGATTCTATTTTGGGCGGGCCTTCTACCTGGTTTTTTTAGTCTATATATAGTTATAAAATATTTTTACAAGTTAGGAGGTTAATTTTAATAAAAAAATATATATTATCTTTATTTAAACTATAAGAAATTGGTTAAGAGATTATATCAAAAAATAAGCATGGAACAAATAGGAAATATATTTTTATTAGCTTATATAAAATATAATAAATTACATATATATATACTTTAATACAATGGCTTGGACTCATAGGCGTAGACGGGGGAGGTGCAAGGGGAAATCCCCCCCTTAAGAAATATATCACTTTTTGTGAATATCATTTTAAGCTAATAAAAAATATCCCTCTTAGTCCTCCCCCACTCCCTGGCCCTTAAAAATGTATGCATATATCTTAAACAATAATTTGAAAAAAAGAATGTAAAAGTTGATTATTTTTTTATAAAACTATTCATATACATTTTTGGAAAAAAGCATTTATATATATAAAAAGTGAACCAAACCAAAAATGTTTTTTAAGAAATGAAAGATAAGTCTTAAGACAAAAGTGAAATGTATAATAATTATTAATAATAGATCCATAAAATTACTAAATAATATAATATATCAAATATAATTTTTTATAAAGTGAGTAATTTTAATATATTTATCTTAATAAAAGTAAATATAATTATAAAACTATTAAAAATTAAATAAAAAAATTAAAGCACAATACAATCAGTGGAATATTATATGTCGTAGATTTACATTATATCTAATTTTATCAATTATCATATGACAATTAAGTAATTTTTACCAATATAGCGAATGATAATCAGAAAATATCTTTTAAAGACATTGTGGGATGAATAATATAAAGATTAATTTTTAATATCATTTTTTATTTGAAATAAATAGATGGCGTTAAATAATTGAATGCAAATTGTTGCTATATTTATTATCAAGAGCATTAAGTAAAATTTGTTAAAATATTAACTGTAATATATTCTATAATTATCAAATATGTCTGTAAAAGTGGCCTTTTACCTAATATTTTGTAACTATATCTATATAATAGAGGAATATCAAATATATGTCTACTTACTTTTTATAAATAAATTTTTTATGCTTGTTTAGAATAAATTATTACCATGCTTTTATTTTAATATATATACAAGTAATTTATTATATATTATATAAACTAATAAAAATATATTTCATATTAAAAATAACCTATCTTGTAAAAATATTTTATGACTAAATATAGACTAAGGTAACCCGGCCGAAGGCCGGGCAAAAGCGGGCCAAAGGCCCGCCCCAAATGGGGTCTGGGGGTGAAGCCCTTAGTAATTTTTTAATTCCCCTCCCCCTTAGGAAAACTGGCTACGCCTAAGCTTGGAGTAATTTATTCCAAGTATCTTTATAAAAAGTAAGTAGACATAAGTTGATATTCCTCTATTATATAGAATTGGCTACAAAATATTAGGTAAAATTCCATTTTTACAGACATATTTGACAGTTATATATATATGTTACAGTTAATATTTTAATATACTTTACTAATCAATGTTTTTGATAATAAATTTAAGTAATAATTTGCATTCAATTCTTTAACGCCATCTATTTATTTGAAATAAAAAATGATATTAAATATTAATTTATATATTATTCACTTATTAGATATTGACGCCACTGAAATATAGAATTATTTTTTTCATTTAAATTTTTTTAAAGATATTTTCTGATGTCCTTATCAATATTATAGTCTTCTATATATAATTCACTATTGGTAAAAATTATTTGATTATCATACGATAATAGATAAAATTAGATATACTGTAAATCTACGACACATAATATTCCACTGTTTGTATTGTGCATTAATTTTTTTTATAATTTTATCAATAGTTTTATAATTATATTTTAATAATCAATCATTTAAGTTATGCAATAATGAAAATAAAACAAAATGTAATTTTAAGTTACCAGATGAGATAAACTAAATATAAATTTAATTATACCAGTTTCAACCCGATTCAGTTTTTTCTCAAGATTTCGGTATTTTATAAATCATGCTTCTTAGCCATTTGAAATGCTAAAATTCTAACCTAAATATAAACATAATGTTTTAAATTATATAAATATTAAGTTAATCTCATAATGTATTCAATTATTTAAATATTAAATTAATTTCATAATAAAAAACTAATTCTATTCTGAATTTAGGTTTCAATATTTTTACATAAAATGCAATCTTCTGCTTAAATTATTTAAATATATATAATAAATAGTGCTAAATCAATATACACATTTTAAAATTAATATATTGCATCAACATTTTAAAATTATTCAAATCATACTTAAATATGATTCTGATGCAAAAAACTTGATTCTTATCCTAATAATCTTATCTTATTTTTGTAAATCGATTTCTATTACAATCCAATAAAAGAATCTAATATTAATTTATAATGAAGCCTCATAAAAATCCGCCCATTTTTAGTATATTTTTTAATTAACTTAAATGATCGTTGTGGAAGCTTAATTAACACTTAAATGATCGTAAAGGAACATTGCTTAAGAAACTTAAATGAACATTTAGATAAAAATTGTACATACGAAAGTTTATTTCTTAATTAACGTAAATGTTAATAAAGTAGATAACAACAACTGTGTTGTAAACATTTTATTCATTTAAATAAAAATTATATATATATATATATACTAAAGTTGATTTCTTAATTAATTTAATGGTTTAATAAAGGTGATTATAACAAGTATGTAAAACGATCATAAAATTTGTATTTATCTTTATTTCCTTGTCCGTATATTATAAAAAATTTTAAAAAAATTTCTGTAAAAAAATGATCCGTCGTTTATTGTTTTAGAAAAAAAAATATGTGCTGTTTATAGCCATTTTTATAAAAAAATTTACATGCTAACTATTTTTATGAATTTATTTGCTAGCTAGTTATTTAAAAAAAATTATTGTAAAGAAAGAAACAACAAAATGACAAGTTATATATAAAAAAAAAAATACCATGTTATAAATTTAATGCATACGTACATATACACATTATAAATCAAATCTAAAGTGGATAAATTTATATTTATGTAAATCTACCAATTATAAATCAATTGTAAAATAAATCATGATACCAATAGTATAGGAAACATACACTGTGAGAAAATAAAGATAATTCATACGAGTCGATATATTTTAACACACGAGTGCTTATTGAAAGATAGACACTGAGCTTATGAATAAGAGGCGTATCTAACATCGAATAAGAATGTAAGGACCCGAAGACGATTGCCTCATGGAAGTATGATGATAGAGACAGATGATAGGAGTGAACCGAGAACAAGGACTCTGAAGATTGATTATTGGGGCAGAAGAATTAGAAAAGGGCTCAAAATAAATTTAAAAAAATTTTTTTTTTATATGTGTAATATTTTTTTGTAAAATAATTTTAATCAATCCACGTTTTAGGCACAATAATTAGAAATTATAATAATTAGAATGGTTCTGAGCATGCCCTTGGCCCGTTAAGGGTGAGCATGTTGCAGATTGGTGATATAATTTAGAATATAAATGTAGAAATTATTATTTTTCTTGGATTTTAAAATAAATTAATATAACTACTCAGATATGGATTCAATTTTTATTTAAAAAATGACTAAAACATTTGAAAAAAAGACCAAGAAAATAGTTTGGATACCAATTTGGATGAGACCGATAGAATCTCAGACAGAAATATCATAGACAAAAGGTCCACAAAATTTTTATTTCGATTTATGCAATATATTTCATATATATAAGTCAGGGTTGGCAATTGGCCAATTGACCGGTCAGATTAGTCATTTGACTGGAGGAGTATTTGACCTGGTTATATTCTCTAAAAAATCTGAAGAAAAAATATTATAATAATAAATTTAAGTATAAAAAATATATAAATATCTACATTTTAATTTTAAAAAGAGCTTAATACAATGTAAATATCAAACCATTTCACCGACCCCACCCCACCCATCTATAAATTAAAAATTATTACAGCTTCTCTCATACATATTCAGTTAAGGTAGTTATATACATCCAAAGATAACAACCATGTTATTATAGGAAAGTATATCGATTTTCTAGTAATCTGATAAAAATGTACCTTTTAAAAAAAACACTTTAAATTATCAGAAAAGGTATATCACATTTTATGTTAATTCAAATAATGCTTAATAATAAGACGATCGATAAGCAATTTATTTAATTTTATTTTTGCATCAATATTCCTTTTTTAAAAAATACAACAAGATTATGAAAAAAAATATATTCGGAGTATCAAAAATTCCCCCTAATATACTAAAAAAGTTAAAAGTTCTTTGTGGTGGTTTAACATCAACAGAATTCACTGACTGTTGGAACATCTATGACCTAGATGGTAAAATTTAATATAATTCTTTTTAAGACATGATTTTAGGAAATGGTTTCATTGAAGGAGAAGAATTAAAAAATTTACTAAACGATCTTATTAATCGCGCTTTGATACACAGGGTATTTACTTATTTATTTATTTAATATATTTATTTTATTTTTAAAATGTATATGTTCTCTTTACTCATTTCGCATAAACGGCATATTTCAATTATATCTATTATATCTACACATTTAACCCTTGATTCCAATCCCTCTAAACTGGGGAAACCAGAATCGGCCGCGTCATAAAATCTTAGGGAGAATTTTGATTTCCAAATTTTTGACATAGTTGCCATTCAAAAGGGTTTGTAATGTAGAGCTGTCTTTTAGCTTTACCAATTTTTTTTTTAGTTTTTATTATTAAATACCTTTTTAAATAATTTTTATTTTTGTATTTCCCTCATGCGATATAAGAAAAAAATGATGAACCATTATTTAGTACCAAATATTAGAGCTGATAAATAGCAAAAAGAGTCGGGAAATATATCACCCAGTTAAAAAAGCCTTAGGAAATAGTATCACTGGAGAAGAAAAAAGCCGGAAAATATATCACAGGGCAAAAAACTCCACCATATTCCCGAAATAATTAAAATCAGAAATAAAACCACCAAAAAATTGAAAAAATTGATGAGTTGCAATAATAATAAATAATCGTTTTGCTTAATATAACTAGATTCGTATTAAGGCCTGACAGGTAATTAAGGTGTAGGGTTTACGTTTTTCCTGAAACCAACTTCTAAGATGAGGGTGGTGTTAACATTAGAATGTTAACAAGATATAAGGAAGGGTTAATTTATAATGAAAAAATATTTCAATAAAATTTTAATTTTTATAATTAAATATCTAAAGTAGAGTACCAGAGTTTAAATCCCGATTAGGTTAATTCAATTTTAAAAATATTTTACTATAATACAATGTTTCCTTTTCAATAAAATATTAACATTCTTATAGGGGAGACCGGGGTAAAGCGATTGACGGGGTAACAATGTTAACGCGAATAACTTTTTAACCCTTGAGCACAAAGATTTTAAATTTGGTGTGAAGATGTATTTTTATATCTAATTTCTTACCTATGTTCATCTTTTAAAAAACTCACTTGGTTTTATACATTTTGTCAAAAATCAAAGTTCAGATCATAAACAAATATTTACAAATGAAGAATAATCTAGATAGGTGATTACATAATAGAAGCAAGTAGGTCATTTATGGGATTAACGCCTAAACATAATTAAATTATATTGTTTATATTTGAATTGAGTATTAATTAATAAATATATTATGTATTTCAATTGAGCATTACTAATAAAGTTACCAAATTAATATTGAAATTTGAAATTATTTATTCACAGAAGAAAAAAGATATCAAAAAAGAATTGTTTATGTGTTATTTGCAATAAAAAACTATAAAAATAGTCGTGAGGGCGATGAATGGTTAAAATGTACAATGCTAATTGTGATAACTACTTTACATGTCCTTATTGTATTGATTAGTTTGTAAATAAAAATCATAAATATTTCTTAAATTTGTAATATCTGTTAAATAAAAAGATAAATATATGTCAAATATTATTTTAACCACTTTACCCCAGTGCTTATCCACTTCACCCTGTACCCAGGGTAAAACGGCCAAAATGAGTAGTTTGACATAACTAATCATAGCTCCTAAAATATTATAGGTAGAGGGCTACACTTTTTTTTATCTTATAGATGAGGGATGGGGCTATACATTGATTTATAATATGTTGTGTTTGAGTCTTAAAATTTTTATGGTAAATATGCAAAATGCCTATCGTTTTACCCCGGTCTCCCCTAATGAAAAAAGTTATTTTTAGTATTTGGATGTTGAAAGTATGCAAAATTTTGATTTTTTATAATAATTTGCTTATTGGTGTTAGAAATAATCTATAAATAAATGATAAGATAAACTTTTGAAATTTTATATAAGCAACTGTTTTTCCGTCAATTTTTTCACTTTCAGTTTATAGATAAAAAATATTTATAAAACTTTGTATTCGTTAGCAATTATAATTCACATATTTGAGCATTTTATTTTAACACATTTTTGTAAACAATATAAATAGATGTGAGTGTCTTAGCAAATATTCGTGCATTTTATTACGCGTATCAATAAAAGAGCTTTATTTTTACAAAATCTATGTATTCGCGCATTTTTTTTATTTCCCTGCTAAAAGGTAGCCAAAGAGGCAATGCAAATTTCTATTGCATTATATAATTTTCCCTTTTTGGATATTTAATTGGGTTTTCCCCAGTACTTCCGGGGAATCGGCTATAACACCTTCGCCAAAGACATTCAAGCCTCAGTTGGGAAGAAATCAATATTTATTTTCAAAATTTATTTTATTCCAAAAATATTTAGATTATATTCTTTTTAAATCTCTAAGGCTATTTCCAGACAAAGTGTTTTTTCAAAACGGTTTCCTTCACATGTTTCCAGCAATTTTTTTATATATTTCTAAAAAGAATAATAAGTTTCAAGTTAATTTTTTTGTATGATATAAAAACTTAGTGAATGTATCTGGATTCTCAAACACCATTTAATCCTTAATAAAAAAGAGAAGTTGATTAAACAAGTTATCATCTTTTTTTCGGAAATGGGAAAAAATTTCTTAGGAAACCGCTGTGAAAAAACTTTCTGCCTGGAAATGGCCGCCATATGTAATAAAAAGTAAACAGTATTTTTAAAAATTCGTTTATCATTTGGAAAAGGGGGGGGGGGGGTAGGATGAAAAAAAGGATAAATGTTTTAACATCAAAAGGTTTTTTTCTGGAGTGGGACGAAATTTTTAAAGATTCTGCATTTAGGTCAAGGGATAATCTTCTTTGAGTATTATCATATAATCAAACATTGTCACAATGAGGCGATTGTCATTGTGCATCAAAACCTAAATATAAAAATAGAAAACAATATATAAAAAGGAAATTAATAATAATTAGGAATCACGAAATCATAAAATCCACTTTAATTCTTTATTCAAAATTATAACATTATCAAATTAACAAAATTATAATAGTAAAAATCATAAAAAAAAGAAAAGAAAATAAAATAAACATAAAATACAAAAAAGTTAATAATTAAAAAAAGATCCTTTGTATGGTAAAAATTGGCCTTTTTATACTCTTTTTCAATCTTCTTATAACTAATAATCATAACTATTCAAACATAATATTTTTATCACGCGTTATAACAATAAATCCACAAGAATTCTTTATGCAAATTAAATATAAAGTACAACAAAATCCAAAAGAATTCTTTATGCAAATTAAATCTAACATTTACAACAGACCTATTACACCTGATTCTTGGATAGGTGTTTTTTTGGAGAGGGGAGTATTGTCTTCCGAAATATTTATAAAACATATTATTTTAAAAATATGTAAAATATTTAGTTCACAAAAAAATCCTTTTTAAACTCGGCAATAAGTATAAGGATTTAAGGATAAAATATATAATGTCCTTTATATCTAATTTTGCAATAAAGAGGTTTTTTAAAAGAATATTTTCTCTCTACAAAATAAAATCTTAGATAAGTTACTGTCTATCATAGTCACCAATTTTTCAAATAAATTTTACTATTATTTTTCTGAAGTCTGAACAAAAAAAAATCGAGTTAAGATGAATGGAAATTTAATCAATTCATATATTTTTTTAAATCTAATAGAATCTGGATGAACAGGAAAGCAAAAAACTACTCAAACAATTTCTCAATGAATTTGATATTAATAAAGACGGTAAATTGGAAATAGGAGAAGTAAAAAAAATATATAAATTTGTTGTCGGTTTTTTTAAATTTTTTTTAAAATAAAATTAGTGGGGATGTAATATATTACAATTTTTTAAATAACAGGTATTGGCCGATAATTTTAAATTGGCGTATCCAATCCGATATATCAAAATGGCAAATAAAAATATTATTTACTAATGATGAATGATGATAATATTGAATCATATAATTTAAGAAAAGGGCATGGTATATTACTAATGTAATATATATCGTATGGATTTAGCAAATTCAGGTTCTACACCAGACTTTAGAAAAATTTTAAAACTTAAATCATTTATAAGGCTCGTTTTTTAATTAAAGGCGGCTTGATTTTACCAGAATCTAGAGCCGATCTTAAAAAATGGCTAACTCAATATTTTATTCAGAAATATTCTGCAAAGTTTAAGATTTTGCTCATAGATGGTACAGGTATGAACATCTATTAACAAAATAAAAGATAATTTTATTTCGAAAAAAAACATGATTTGTTTAAAAATTCGATTTAATAGTAAATGTACAAAAAATAAAGATAAATAAATGCAATGCAATTTAATAGCTATGCAATTTTTTTTATTCTTTCAATTAAAAATTTCGCATTATTGAAATATTTTTTCTGATATTAACCATATTGTAACTAAGCATTTTTTTCTATAAAGTTAATTAAGAATCTTTTTATATCAATATCAAATATTTTGATATAATTCTCAGAGACCTTCAGGCCTGGCCTGACCCGTGAAATTTGTGAATACCCCGGGTAGAAAATTTTTTTAAGATTTATCTTATGATCATTTTTGAATTACAATAAAATAATCGGAGACCTGCAGAGCTATCATCTGCACGGCCCGGCTGGTTAAAAATAAGTAAATATATTCATTTACACAAGAATTATAGTATTTTTCTATAATAACAATAATCGGAATCAGATTTATTTTATGATCATTTTTGAATAGCAACAAAATTATCAGAGACCTGCAGAGCTACCATTTGCGACCCGGCCTAGCCTGTATATTTTTATGTAGTTTTGTGTAAATAAAATTATTCACTTATTTTTAACCAATAGGAATATATCTAAAGAGGAAGGAGCCAAAACCTGCTCTATAGACCAAAATTCTAGTTGTGCAAGCCCAAAATATTTTATATTTGGGCAAAAAGTTTTTCTGCGCATGACAAGAGCTAGTATTACAACAATCTCATTTTATTGTGAAGCATATTATTTATTAGATTATTTTATTTTTTTATATTTTTCAATTAAGTTGGCTCGAATATTAGAACCGGAAGAAAATTTTTTGGCTTTAATCAGATATGATCTACCTTTAATGAATGGATATGATTTTATAAAGGTAATTAATAAAAATTTTATCTGGAAAACTCTTCATTTTTTTCTTCTAAGAAAGAAATAGAAAAGATGCAATTTTCTAAAATTAGTTTTTATACTTTATAATCAATCGAATAGCATGCCATATACTAAAGCTACCCGATCGAATTCGATCCAACCTAACTTAAGCGGTCATTTTTTCTGATTAGGGGCTAGATTTTAAAGTTTATGTCATACCGGATCGGGCTTCGAACGCAAAAGTGTTTTTTTTTAAATTATTTTATTTTCCTAATATTATGAAAATTTTTCTCATGACTAACCACAAAATTGTTTATTGATTAAGCGTTTATAATTTTTCCGATTTCTTTGAATATCGTGCCTTTTTAATAGTCCAGTAAAAAAATTATCGGATCCGTCCTACAATTTAAAAAAATATTTTCGACGCAGGGCTCTGCTATATACCAATATCATGTATCTCTGAATTATAGAGATGGAGGTTTCAATTAGGTCCCCAAAATTATAATTGAGAATTTTCTTTATCGAATTTTTCAAAGCATCTTAAATAAAATTTCAAGTTACCACTTTCAAATTATTTAAAATTGGCAAAATCATATTTTTGAAAATTGGCTGAGCAAATATATTTTATTCCTTTATTATCTAGTATAATCTTTTTAAAAATTTTCCAAATATAAATTATTTGAAATTTAAACCAAGTTATTGATTGTCCGGAACGTTTATTAATTAAAATATAACTAGAATTTAATTTTTATTTACTTATTAAAATTAGCCTTGGTTTTATTTGTGCTAAAAAAACTTAGTCCAAGTTTAAATAGTTCGAACATTGAAAATATTTATTTCAAAATTTGGCCTATGCCAGAAAAAAATTAACTGTATCAGATAAGAAATAGGCTTTCCAGAGTACCCAACTACATTATGCAGCGAGATATTTTAAAAAATAGCGGTAGCGCTATTTTTTGAAAGGCGAAATGTAGATGCTCTGCTTGCTATTTTTAAATTAAAGATTGTAAAATAAATATTAGAGTTGGAATAGGTCCAAACTTGAAAAAAAGGAATAAAGGTTTATCCATTTTTTATTATCTGTTGAATCAATAAGTAAGGTTAAAATATGCGCCACTGCTTTTATTAATTTAATTTCATAATTAATTTTAAAATAATTCTGTAAATATTTAATTTATTTTTGAAATTTAAATAAAAGTTTGAAATATATATATATTCATATTTTAGAAATTTGCATTATATATCCAATATAGACACGGATTTAAACTATTTATAATGTTAGAAACTGGTATAGAAGAGATCGATGATATTAAGCCTATAACTTGGAAAGAAGATATTGTTAATAATTAAGATGCTCATATTTTTAATTTTCCTTTGGAGAAATTATACCAATATAAGTTTTTCAAAATAAAAAATTAACAATTTTTATTTTATTTGCATTTTACACTTCTATAATTTTTCGTTCTATAATTATACCAATTTTTGAAATAACTTTTTTTGCTAATAACTTTTCCTTTACAGTGTCTATCAAAGGGATAAGAACACTAAACCAAAAATGTATACTACAAAATTTTCGTCCATTTTATTATTATAATGGGCGTCATAGTTTTTATTTATCTTATAAATCGATTTCTGTTTATTAGAAAAACTGATTGATAAATTAATAAGTATTAAGTACTAATCAGAAAAATATTGACTCAACCCAGATATCATTGCAATTTCTGTTATGGTAATGTTTGTTTTTTTAAAAATTATCTACAAAATGGATTGAGTGTCTTAAAATGTAATAATTACATTTGCTCGGTATAAGTTTTAGAATTATTGCTTCCAAGGTTTAGATGACTCAACATACCCTGCGTTCATGGTTAACGTATTTTTGACTTCGACGAGAATGCTAACTATGAATGAAAGGTAAGGAATGCCGTAATCAGCGCTGTCTGAGACATTTCGTGGACCAGAGCAAAAACTAATTCGGCGGCTCTTTAAAACCCCATAGTTTATATAGGCTCGTTTGCAAATTTTTCATATTCTATCAAAAATTAAATATAAAATTTATAGAATCTTAATCATAAATATGAATAACGCTTATATATAGGTTAATATAGTGCATGTACCGTGTATTTAATCACTATCATATAATAATTACAAACTAAAACAATGATAGTTTAAACATTTATCCTCCTCGACTTTTACTTGCAAAAAGGATATAATGTCAGTACAATCTAATAACGATGCAATGTCATTTTCGATTGCAATTAGGAATCGTTTATAAGTAGCTTTTTGCCATGCAGGATCTTAAGTAAATTTTACTTAGTTTGGACTATGAGAAGTTACGTTCAACCGATGCGACTGTAATTGGAATATTTAGAATAATCCTAAAAACTATTCATGTTTGGCAGGGCTTCATTTAACCTATTAGTGTAAATATAGCGCAAGGTTTCTAAAGGACTTTTTATGGTCTGCTTACACAATTAAAATTTTTATTTCAGTCAATAGATAGATCTAGTATATTAATATCGCTGTCCAACGAATCTTGATTCTTTAATTGATTACAATATTCTTTTAACTTAGTTTAAGGCATATTTACCAATGTAGATATAAAATAAATAAAAACCTAAATGGATACTTGAAAAATTTTAAGACTTTGTCCAGGTTCGATGGCTAAACAGCTTTTGAACTAGGACACCTTATCTTGTTGTTTTAAGTGTTTGGTAACATTATTATTTTCGTATATTTTTCTTTTATTTTTTAGGCTGTTTAGTCGAAGCTAAATAGCCGGTTGTTTAGTTATAAGTCGAACCAGCATGGCCTAACTGCTGAAAACGTTCTTCCAACAAAATCTTTGCTTGATCGAGTAATACATTAAAAAATCAATCATATCAATTTGTTTGTTGTCGATATTGATTATTTATCGCATTTCAGAAGTGGCGCATAATGTACCTTTTTTAAAGTGGTCTAAAAGAATTTATTATAAGGATTAATAAATTCAGCTTCACCACCTGAATCCAATTTATTTACTCTTCCCATTTTTTGAACTCTTTATAGCCTATAAATAAAAGATCAGTTTTTCTATATATATATATATCTAGTTTGTAATTTTTTAAGTGTCTAAAACTCGTATATAATATATTCTAAGTTAAACGTCTAATAGTTGATTCTAAAGTTTAATTAGATTACTCAATTTATATGAGGGCAATTTAAAGTATGCCCACCCATAAAGTTATAATATTAGATTATGACTATGGTGTAAAAAAAATTTATATTATTAATTTTTAAAAATCTATTATAATTTTAAAAAATCATAAAATTATAAATTCTTTTCGATTTTGGAATATAAGAAACTAATGCAATTTTAACAATATGGGCCTCGCACAAAATGAATCATATTTCACCAATATCTTTAATCTGGGTGTCTGCCAAATATTTGATTATTTTAATAGTTACGGTTAATATTTAATAAATTTGCATTTTTTCCCATAAAATCAAACAAGAAATAATATTTGGTAATAAAAGCGTTAAATTTCGGTGGCCCTGATGGCTTCCCCACTAGCCCATGCCAAAGGCACGAACTTGGATGAAATACTCTTAGTTTATTATTTGGCTTCTTATTGTGCGATTGAATAAAGAATTAATATTTATCAATGTTGTAGCGCAACGTCGTCATTACCATTTTTGGAAACTAAGAATAAAGTAGAGATGTTTATTTTTGTAAGTTACCCATCAATTTTCAAAATATGGAAGAATTTGAATTTAGATATAAATACAGCTATAATATAGGTCTTAATGGCACGAAATTTTATAAGCCATTCTTAAGTTGAGCTATTTAAAAATTAATTTATTTTATCATACATTTTTTAAAATTTAATTAAATATTTTTAGTCGATTTTAATTCAAATCAAAAGTGTATAATAATATATATCTTCTAGATTAATTTAAAATTTGATTATAGTTTATATAATCGATAAAAAATATAATAGTAATCAGTTAAAATTAAAAGTGAGTCAAATAAAATATAATTTATTAATAAATTATCTCCTGCTTATATTTAAAATTTCGGTTCTCTTGAAAACATCAAATCGGAGTTTTCCATGAATATTTTGGATTAAAAAGTTATTTTCACATAGAATTGTTTGAATTTATTAATAAATCAGGTATGGTCAAAATTTTCGGGGAATAAAGATTTTATTCCTTCAAATGAAGTCAAGGTAATTTTTTTATTTTTGGGTTTATAAAATATTTTGAAAATATCTTTCTAATTGTTTGTATCGACGAATCGATTTTAATTTCATGTTTAGCAATTATTCTCACATTTTTTATATTAAAAAACGAACACTTTTTCCCTATTTTACGATTTCCGTCTTCTTTTCTCTTTTTGTCTTTATTGAGATATTTAGGGTATCGAACTAGAATATGGTTAATGGCGATTTTAATTTTCCAATAGTTTATTATTTTTACTACCGCTTGCTTTTAAAAATTCATTAAATGCCTTCATCGTTGGTATACATTCTCTACATTTTTGTGATAATTTTATCATGAATAATTTACTTGTCCATAATTGGCCTTGTCAAACTTACATTAATCATTCACTACTTTCATAAGGTTTATCTTTAGGCATTCTTCTATTTTGGAATTCTACAATTTATCTTTTTTTAGACTGATTTCTATCTATCACAGTATATTTTAACCCAAGTCAATATCTAAAGGCAGCAGACTAATAAGCAAATCTTTATTAATTTCTTACCCCCTCCCCCTTCTCTTTTGCAATTTAACATTAAGGCAATACTTATTCAATGGCGTCAATCCTTATTTTAGAAAAACATAATACATAATAATTCATGATATTTAGGCACTGAATAGCCTTACGTACAAAGTGCTAGAAAAATCAAAATCCACTCAAATTCAGCTGAATTAAAATGTCGATCATACATTATTTTACGGATCAATTTATAGATCTTTATTTAATATTAATTTATATTCCTTAATAAGTCCAAATAAATCAAATCCTAATCAACAAGTGAAGGCAGGATATAAAGGCAAATTATATGACAATTATTGTTTATACAGAGTATAGAAGTTATAAAATAATAAGATACAATTTTATATATCTAAGAAGATTTTTTTAATGTGTCTAAATTTCATGGGTATTTCATTTTAAGCCTCTGATAATTTGAAGTATATTCAATGGATGGGTTCACAGCAGTTTAGAAACTTTATTTAGTGTTCTTTATAAAGATTTAATTTATATTTATAAGCACCAGGGATGCAGGCCCGGCAAAATTTTTGCCAGGTTCGGTCTAAGGTTAAAAAAAATAGATAGGTTCGTTTCAGGGAAATATTTTTGAACCCTTGGTTCCGAGTTCAGCTCGGGTTTAAGAATTTTTGAATTTATGGAAAAATTTGTATTTAAATCATAATTGAAAAAGGATTTGAGTTTATAAAAATTTTTTAATAAAATGAACTTTTCCTTAAATTATAAAATTGCAAAGCATTTATTACAAATACATTTAAGCCTGATACTTAATGAAGAAAAGATTTATAAAAGTATATAATAATAAAAGGTTTTAAATAATTATAACTTAAATATAATATAATACAGAATTTCGTAAGATATCTCCTGCAGTTGCAAAATAAAACCGTAAATGATAATAAATTGGAAGAATATGCTCAATCGCTGGTATAATTTTAAAACAAATTTTGATTTAAAAATATATATTACCTATATATTTATTGTAATAGATTATGTTATATGATAAAAATATGGATGGGGTATTAAGTTTTAAAGAAATGTCAAGGTATTTTATCTCTAATCTGATTCATTTTTTTAAGTTAATTTTTTTTAGAATTATTTCACCTGAAGAAAATTTTATGCTAAAATATAAGGTTTTTAAAATTTATTTTATAATATAATATTTTTCTTTATAGGAAGATTACTATTTAAGTAACAATGTCTTTTGCAAAATATTTGATCATTACGATAAAGTAATAAATTAGTGAATCATTAAATCTAATTTTGTTTTAATTTTTAGAACAACGATGGTATTTTAGAAGATAATGAAATTATAGCTTTCATTCGGGATATATTACAAACCATAAATGTAAATTTATATATGTTATAAATCTACATATTACATTTACAACTATAGACACCTTTTAAAAAATGAGGCGTCAAAAAGTGCGAATTTTTCTACACTCGTAATATTACAATTACAACTATAGAGATCTTTTAAAAAATGGGTGTTAAGAGGTGCGAATATTTTTAAGATATATCTGTAAAAAAATTATTACATTTTTATGTTTGCGTTTGCAAAGTGTAAAACCTAGGTATAAGAAAATCAATATTACATTCGCTGACTCCCAATCCCTAGGAAAGAAAAATATAGCTAAGGCTTTAGATTTTTTATATAAATATTGCTTTTGCGCGGTGTAAAAAATATAGGTATAAAAAATAACATTATTCATATTGCAACGTAGGGTATGAAAATCATGGGGAATGGTGTGAAATTCCGTATCAGGTCAATTCAGCGAAACTTTTGTCGCGAAACACTTTTTCGCGAAGCTTTTATCGCGAAGGTAATATCGCGAAACCAATTCCGCGAAACATTTATAGCGAAGACAATATCGCGAACTTATTATCGCGAATTTATTTCCGCGAAACCTTAACCGCGAATACTTTATAGCGAATACATTCTAGCGAAACTTTGATCGCGAACTCTTTATAGCAAATTTATTTTCGCGAAACTTTAACCGAGAATACTTTATAGCGAATACATTTTGGCGAAACTTTGATCGCGAACTCATTATCGCGAATTTATTTTCGTGAAACCTAAACCGCGAATACTTTAGAGCGAATATATTTTAGCGAAACTTTGATCGCGAACTCGTTATAGCGAAACTTTAATCGCGAACCATTTATAGCGAATTTTCTACCGCGAATGTAATTGCGGGAAATTATTATAGCGAGGGCATGACCGCGAAAATTGCGAATTCATTTTAAGTGAAATTGATATATTCAATATCAATTTACCAACCGAAGTTTCTTAAATCATAAACGCGAGTAGAATCGTTTGTTTTAATAAGCATGTAACCTCTATCTGATGTGATAGAAAATATATTAATCTTTCTGGTCTCACTCACTCATGGTTATAAGTATGGAGGGGACATTTTGGGTTAAGTTATTACCTGAATAAGTTAACCCCCCCCAACATAAAATTTTAAAGTGTGCTTTATGTCATTTAAAGTAAATAAAATACGTATTTTCCAATCTAGATAAAAAAATATACTGAAAGTTAAGAATTTTTTATTGATTTTCTCAGATTATTTTTAAAAATTATAGAAGATTTTACTGATAATTAATGCCTCCTAATTACAATTTTTAAATAATGCACATCGATATAACTTTCTGATATAAAAGTAACTAATTCATTTAAATATTTTGACCTCTCCTTTTTCTTCTATTCGCATTTTAATAAATAGAAATAACTGCAAAGTTATGATTAATCAAAAAAAAAAATTCAAAATATTCTATTGGATTACATAAATTTGTAATATTTATGAAATAAATTATGGAAATAAATCATTAGATCTTCAGTTATTTTAGTTTTTTATTTTTGCTCATTTCACAAGTCTAACTAAAACAATATAAAAATTAAAAAACGTAAAATAGTTTTCATCATTTTTTAAAATAATACCAGTTCAATTTAAATCACAGCGTTTTTATAAAAACACCGCTAAATGCTTCTACTCAATTTGTAAGCACTTTTATTCATTTTTTCTAATAAAATGGAATTAAAAAAAATCAGGATTTTTTGAAAATAAATAGAAAATGTTCCAAATCAAGAAAATAAAGATATTCTAATATCGGGAAACCAGGGCAAAGTGTTTATTTATTTACTCTTACATATTTTACCATGACAAGGGTGAGGGGGGGGGGGGGGTTTGTTAAAAACATTTTCTAAATTTTGAGAAGAGTATATAAATGAAGGATAATAAAAAATAATTATAAAAAGTGGCTATATTTTAATTATAGATTAAATAGGCGTCTTATTCAATTTTCTCATTTTGTAAATTGCAAAAATTTGTAGGCCCGGCCATACATCCCATATTCTAAGAGTGAGGTGGGATTTTTAATGACTAAAAGGATAAAAAGCGGAAAAGCGCGACAACTGCAATCCTTTTATATATAAATATTGGTGAATAATTTTTTTCAAATTATAATTTATAAATTTAAATATATTATCCATATTTATAAAGTCAAAATATATAAAAATTAGATCCAAATCTACATATCAGAAGGAATTTATTTTATTTAAAAGTTTATTATATATGAAAATAAATTTTAACTCTTCGCAATTCATATCAAAATTTTGGTTTACCATTAATTCGCCTCTAATAAATTAAATGAGACCGAAGAAGGGTTTTTTCCCCTAATCATATTCATTAAACTCATCTCTGAGCCAGCATTTGAATGTAGAATTAAAAATAAATCTTTACATATTTTTTACGCTTATATTTACATTTTTATTTAATTCTTTCAAAATATTCTACTTGATCGTATAATTCAAAATCAAAGGTTTAAGCTATTTATATCTATAATTACCATAATAGTTTGATAATTCTGATTAATTTCTTTATATGCTTCAACTTGTGTATCAGAACAGAGGAATAGACAAGATTTATATATTTTAATAATAGCGCCGTTAAATTTGGCGGCTGAATAGTTCTACGAACTAATTGTAAATTATATAAATATTTCTTGCTTTATTAGTACCAATTGAGTATTTAAACGAGTATATAGTAGCTCGTAAAAGGAAAAAACTATTAGTAACAAAATTTTGGCAAATCTATGATATAAGCGACTGAAATAATTTATTCCGAATATTTTATCGATGTTCCGTATTAATTATAATTTAATTCGTTTAATAGACCGTATAAAGAAAAAGTTTATTAGCAAAATAAGAAAAATTACAATTTGGCATTATTGATAGAATGGAAAATAGCTGGTTTGCCCTAATATTTATTAATTCTTTAGTCATTTTTTTCACACACAAAAAGGTAACCGTACTATAAGAGGAATAAAATCTATATCACCCATTAAAGCGTAAAATCAACCAAATTTATGGAAGCATTTAATCTGGAACTTAAATCAATAATTGAAATTTATTACATTGATTCTTCAATTCGAGAATCATTGAAATTAGAGAGGGGATAGTTAGTTATGAAATAATTATCATTATATGAATAAAATTGGAAAGGGATAAATGATATTTTCTTTTTTTAATTATTTATATTTGGTAGGAGGTTAAAAGTTTTGAGAGGGTTGATATCATTTATAGATATGTATACAAGCCCCTGATTATATTCTCCGCAGTCCTTTTCTTAAGTTAAAATAGGAAATGGTATAGCAAGTATTATCCTATATTAATAGATCCCTTTAGGTCATATTTTTTTATATCTAATTTACATATAGAATAAACATCCTTACAAAATAAATTTCATTATAAAAAGTTTTTTAAAAAATGATTTTTTTATTTATTGAATATGTGAAGGAAAAAGTAGAGCATTGCCATATCATATCGTCTAAACCAATAGTTTGTTTGTTAAATATATAACTGAAGTGTAAAATTTTAAAAGAATCACTGATTTGAACAAAGACTGGTTAAAAATAACCATGGAAAAAAAACATCGGACAAAAACATCCCAATATAAAAAACTGTACATGCTTTAATAAATAAAAGGAAAATGTAATCCTCGTTTAAACTTTGCCCTTTAGTGTAATACTTGAGTATTATTTTATAATAATATTTTTCTAATAATGTTGCTCATCAAAAATGATCATATTTGTAAGGGAAAACAACTATATGACTCAAGTGCTAGGAGCTAGGAATATGAATTTAAAATAATTTTATAATGCATGACGAAAGGTAGTTATTTTTGAAATATTAATCGTGGGATTGATGTGGTAGAGAAAGACTGAGTCACATATAAAAGAATTTGTAAATACTCTCATAAAATCTGTATCTTGATGAATGAATCTGTATGTAGCTAGCTAAATTTTATACCAAAGTAGACCTTCCTATATTTTTGTCACAAAAAATAATGCGAATATAAAAAATTTGAGACTATTATATAAAAACAAACAAAATTTTTTTTATTGTACATAAGAATTAAAAAAAATAAACATTCAATGTTATATTAATAGCGATTCCTTTAAGATAATCTAATCTTGATCGATTTTCAAAATCAGAAACAATTGTTACTATTCTCGCTTGTAGATTTCGATATTTTTTTCTGAGGGTGTTTCACCAGAATTATATTGAGCAATTTTTAACTCTGTCAACCCTTATTGTTTTTTTAAGCCTAGAATATAAATTATAAAGTTTATTAGTAAATCTTTATACTTTTTAAATCATTTAAAAATAATAGATATATAGATAACTTGATATAAATTTACACATGTTTGGATGGTGACTTGTTAGGAGGGAACTGAAGCATCTATGCCACCCTTCAACCGCGTTGTTGGTTTTCGCTTCCCCGTTGAGAGTTGATTGGTAACAATTCCATAGTTCAATATTAAACAAAGCAGGTAGTCTACCTCTTCCAAACATTTTACCAATGTAAGCTTTTTCAAAAGTTTCAATTAAAGGCTGAAGTAACAATTGATTATTAGAATAAAATTTGGAGTTTATTAGTAATTCAAATGTTTCAACTACATTTAAGGGTGGCACAAATGGCAAGCAAACCATCATTCTAAGTTGTATATTAAATTCCACATCTGTTTTATATTTCTGCGATATTTTTGAATGTTTCGCCAAAAGGATTGGCCAAAATGGAAATAGCAACATTTGTGTTGCGAACTGGGAAACACTTCATTGAAAGCTTTTACACTGGCCATTTCAAAATTCGTCATATTTTTTTTTGGAGTTGATATTAAGTTGTCACCTATAATAGTAAATATTCTTTTATATATTTCATGATCCTTTCTATTGGTCAATATATATATGAGAGGTAAAACATTATTATTTTTAATCCCATGAATTGTATAAATTTGCGTAAAAGATGGCGATGATTTAAATGTATCATCAGAAAACCTATGTTGGAATGAAGCTAAGAACTCCAAATTTTTCTTGTTCCAAATATGATAACACGGTCAGGAACCTAGCACACACGATAAATAAATAAGCAATTATAATAAAGTGTTTCTTATCGGGCAGCTTATCGCAATAAAAATGAAAGATTTAGTTATATTTGTTCAAAAAATTTATAAAAAATCTTACCGGACCATCATCATGAAGTATGAAATCCTCATATATCTGTTCCATTTCGATTGGATTTTCTGGATGATTGTGTATTTCTTTATTATCTTTTATCTTGCCATTTTTTTTTTGTAAGTCGTACGGGACATTTAAATATATCTTGATTAATGCATCCATAATAATTAGTATCTAAGACTACTTTATTCAGGCGGAACAAATAATTTTTAAAGGTTAAGATCTCCTTTGCTTGATAACATATTTTATAAGACTCCGAAATAAAGAAGAAAGAATGGCGAAAATATTTATAATTTATAACCAAAGGAATGGCACCGACCAGACTAGAAAATTTTTTTTTTTAAATTTCGGCAATACTTTTTTTTAAATAGTTATAATTTATCAAATATGTCATTAATTATTTGTTAATTTTTAGTGTAGCTATTTTTTTATTATATTTTAAAATTATTTACGATTCAATAAGAACCCATATCAAAATATTATATTTCAATTAATTGAAATTAATGCCGAGATTTTATATTAAAATTTTTATCACGCCTCCCCCCCCCCCTCCAAATAAACAGAAAAGAGAAAAATATATCTATAAAGGTAAAATAATAAGATTAATAAATATTTTAAATTGGGGAAATCCCTTATTTCACTTAGATGTAATTTATTTTTGAATTGCCATTCAAAATTGACATTCTAAACAGTAATGTTGTGGACTTTATTCATCTACACTGTTTAAGAATAGTGACTGCCAAAACCACGGTTGTGCATTTGACCGGTCAAATATGGTTAAAATCAAATAAATATTTTTTTATATTTGAATATCAACATTTTCTTTAATATTTTTTAATCAATTTTCTTTTTGTCTAAATCTTCAATCGATTTCTGTTTTAGTGAGATTATTGACACAAATCGACCAATTTCTTTCTGAAGAAGAAGTAGATCTAGGAATTGTTAGTAATGTCACTTCTCTTAATGGCCATGGTGGTCAAAGCTAATTCTGCTTGAGATTGAAATCTGATTGTTTCTTATAGACTGCTATCCCCATGATTTTCTATTAAACAAGCCGCTTTTATTTCTGAAATTTATGATATAACTTGAAATATTTTGATCACCACCTTATATGCCTAATTCTTTTATTATATTACATACTTCATTAAATTCACTATGATTAAAATGCTCTCCTTAATATTAGGAACTCAATAAGCATTGTGATCACATTTCATATGTATTTATATCGTTTTTTCTTTTTCAAACATATTTTTATATTCGGATCTTATAGAATATTTGACCATTTGACCAGGTCAAATATTCTCCCGTTCATTTGACCCGTCAAAATCTAGTCATTTGACTGGTAAATTGACTGACTTGCTAACCCTGGCCAAAATTGATTGATAAATTTATAAATATTAAGCCATCAGACAATAAATAGGAATGCTACTTAGATATCAATTTCGCCAGTAAATATCAAGATTTAACTAATAAACTCAATGATTAATATATTGATAAAGCTGAGTTCCTTGTGCGCGATTATTATAAAATAAGAACTTTGAAGGAAAGGATAGGATAGCGAAAAAAGTGTATTTCAATAACAAATTTCATAAACCAGCTCTAAGTTTTAATCACTATATAAATTTTTTAAGGTTAAAAGAAAATTACAAACTATGTGAATTAAAAAAATATTATTCAAATAATATAATTATAAAAAAATGATTCAAAATAAACTAGTTATTATTAGCAATTATCGCGATATTAAATTCTCTAAAGCATCTTCGCGATATATGTTTCGCGAAATAATTGTCGCTACATTGTCTTCGCGATTTGGGTTTTGCAATAATAACTTCGATATAAAATTTTCGCGATTAAAGTTTCGCGGTAGTGTATTCGCTTTAAAGGTTTCACGATAAAGGTTTCGCTATAAAATTTTCGCGGTAATGTATTCGCTTCAAATGTTTCGCGATAAAGGTTTCGCTATAAAATTTTCGCGATAAAAGTTTCGCGGTAATGTATTCGCATTAAAGGTTTCGCAATAATAAATTCGCGATATTTGTTTCGAGATATTGTATTCGCTATAAAGGTTTCGCTATAAAAAATTCGCGATATTGCATTCGTGGAATAGTATTCGCGATAAAAGTTTCACGAAAAAGTGTTTCGCGATAAAAGTTTCGCTGAAGACATGGAACCTTAAAATTCACAGAGAAAATATATCCTATACATGCCAGTTCTTCTTAAAAAGTGCTTTTTATGAATGATTTAAGTTTTAAAAATTTGCTAAAAACCCAGGGCAATGAAGCAAAGCCCTGAATTCGCTAAAGCACTACTTATGACAACAGTTAAAAAATTAAAGTTATTAAAAGATTAATATAAGTGTTAGATTTTTTGTAATTTTTATATGCTTATCATACAAAGAGGTTAGCTTGTCCCATATTAGAATGTATACGTGTATAGTTATTGAGATTCTTAAATAAGTTTTTATCTTATAAAAAAATCGTTTTTTATTGATAGTAAGAGAAAATATCTTTTGATTTTTCGTCATTTTGTTTTTATGCTTTAGCAGGCGAAAGAAAAGGTACCTTAGATTATGAACATTATATTTTATTATTCTCCATAAAAGATCTTAATTTATCGAAATAAAATGATAATAGATTTTCTAAAAGTCACTAATCTATAAAATGGTACTATACTTTAATAGGGGATCTAACACCTAAAGTGCATGACTAAAGTTGTTAAAGTAAGCGCGTTACCTTTTTAGAGATAGTTAATTATTTTTTTGAAAAATAAAGATGGAAGTAGTGAGCTATTATTTTGAGAATAGTGAATATTTACCATAAATACGAAAATTGGTTTAAAATTAAACATAAAATTTCAATTTATTTTGAAATTTAAATATATTTCGAAATATAATATTGTTTATAAACATTTTTAATTTTTCTAACGTTTATGAAGAAAAATAAATTACTTTCCTTAATGAATACTAATACCTAAAAGATTATTTAAAAAAATCTTCAGGAAATATCATCAATTCTAAATTGTCTTTAAAAAATATTTTATTTATGTAAATTTCAAAAAAATAATCCTATAAAAGAGACAAAATTAACTTATTTTTTTCAATAAACGTGAAATTCATATGTCATATGAGAACTTAAACTTTTATATATTTAAAATTCATTTTTTAAATCTAATTTAGTTTGATATGGTCTAAGATGTCTGAAATTGGGATGAAGACCGATAATATAAGCGAAATTAATTATACTGGAAGATGAGTTCAATATTAATAAAATGTTCTATAACCGTCATACAGAATAGAAAAATAAATCATATAAATCATTAAAATGGCCTTTTTAAATTGCTGAATTTCCAATTTGTTTATCATTATATTGGGTTTTAATAATATTTTAGGATATAGAATACTCTACATACATTTTGATATTTAGAAAGTATAAAAGCAAGTATTCTAATATCATTACGTCTTTTAGGTAGATTTTTAAAATTATCTCCCGTTCCTGTGATGTTGGAAAAAATAGATATGTCACTACAAACTTAGATGATGATTATATAAAAAAAAATTCGTAATATGCTTATTATGCAGAGAGGTTAAATTTTGAAAATGAATTTGTTTAACATTGTTAACTAATGACGTGTTTGGTCGGTCTCTCTCCTTGCATTATCGAATTTATTTTTTGCATAATAAATTATTTTTTTTAAAAAAAAAACTTGTTCTAGATAGGTGCCAGATGTTAATTAATCGTTAATAAAATAATGATTTTTTTAACGATTAAATGATGGCAAATTTATATAATGCAATTCGACCAATTTCCTTTGTTTGAAAATAAATAAAAACTACTGGAAACATATCTATAACTGCTTTAAAAAACGACTTGTTTGGAAATGGTCTAAAAAAACTTAGCGTTTTCGGACAAATAGAGCATATAATTTAATCTCTTCTCTTTATATTGTAATTTTTTTTACAACTGTTTTAAAAAAAATCCATTTATTTTACAATAAAGATTGATTCTACCGAAAAGGCTGAAGAGATGGAAAAATTTAGAAGAATTATGTTAAAATTATGTGACCAAAACAAAGATGGCTTATTTCAACGTGAGGAACTTGCTCTATGGCTTGGTGTCCATATTTGATTTAAATTCCTACACTCCTCTATAAACATTCTCACGATTTGAATATATATTAATATATGGAAATTTAAAATCATTATTTATAAGTGTTTTTTTTTACTAATTAATAAATAAATTAAAAAATTACAGACATAAAAAACGATTTCGTGTTAATAAATTGCAATAATAAATATATATATATAATTAATTTTATGTGTATATAATAACATCAATCAAATAAATAAATTTAACAATCATAAAATTTGCAAACGTTTTAATATATTAGGAACCAAGTATCGATGAAATTCATCAACTGTCTGGTCAAAGGAAGAGTCGAGTGGTTGAAATATTAAGGATGCGGTAGGTATTAAATTCAGATTTTTAAGAGTATCATCTTTTGGATTCGGGTTCTTTAATTTTGTTGCGGGTATATTATGTGGATTATTGGTATTGGATACGAATGGGTAAAGTTTAAGTCCCCAACTAGTTAGCAATAAGAAGCCCCCATCAGAATTTTTACCAGTTTTGTTCTTATTATTTGTCAAGTATTGGGATATAAAGTCGATTACTTTCGATATTTTCTCTTCGACCTCAAAAGTACCCTGTAAAATTAGGTTGTTGGGAAACTTTATGCGTATAAACGTGTAACATTGGTCACAAAGTTCGTGATCTAGTTTTGTATTAAAATCCTTGTCTGGTAATTCAGCTAATTTCATGGCCCGCGTTCGCAAAAGCAAATCTTTATCAACCCTATTTTTCATGTCCTTGTAAATCATTTTCACATCTTCAAGTTTGTGTTTGTAAAATTGGTTAGGGGGCTCGAATTTAGGGGATTCTGATATAAAATAGTATAATCTTTCATTCCTATACAACTCCCATTCCATTTTTTTCGTATTTTCTAAAATACTTAAAGCGACCTTAATTTTATCTTCAAGATTTTGCCCTTCCTCGAGGTTAAATAGGTAATATAATTCTTCTTCGGTGTTTTGGTCATCATTTTTTTGCGTTTTGAGTAAACGTAGCTGTAAATTTATATCGTCGAGTTGATAAAAATTGGCTGGCATTAGGTGAGATTCAAAGCCGAACGCTATTAAAAATTCCTTCGCCCCTTCAACCGGGGTAACTTTATCATTGAATATTTTGTTATTGCAACGTATAGCCCTATATCTCGGATTATTATAATCTCTCCCAATATTCTCGATGTATTTGGTCAAAACGTCTATGCATTGTTGACTCGTAGTAGGGTTGTTTAAAGTTTTTATTATGATTGTCGAAAAATACAAAGGGTGCAGAGAAAATTCAGATAATAAAAATTGGCGTAATTTCTCGAGCATTTGTTCAAACGGAAATGGCGGAATGTCGATATGATTGCAAGTAAAATAAATATTTTTATCGTTAACATTAACACTATGTCCATGTGTAGTCGAATCTTTGTCACTTCTCTTCAACGAATTATATCTTTAATAGTATAATAGTTTATTGAATTTAATAAATAGATAATTTTAATAAAAAAATACGTCATTGATTTTTAGTGCAATTTTCAATAATATTTAAGAAAAATGGGCAAAAGGTTTATTTATATTTTTAGGAGAAAGAATATATTGGTAGTAATTAGGGTTGCGTATATTAAATATCGGATTGGAGCCGATATTTGCAAAAAAACAGATCCGAGTAGATATTTTATTGTTATGGGTTATTTTATGATTGATGGAAAAACTATAGGCGGCGGCTTTCACTTTAATGTTATAGGCGGCGCGCCGATCTTCATGCCACCGTTTATATCGGCGGCAGTCTGGCATCGAGGGGAATTTTTCATTACCTTAAAAAACTATCTTCGATTTTTCTTCCTTAATATAAATTTAATCATTTCATTGAAATAACTATTTTTAAAATAAAGTTTATTTTTATAATACCAATATGATAAATTAAATTCATAAAATTATAGTTATCATGTATAAGAATTATTCCATTAAATTGTAAGGACAGAGTGAGGATCTTCTTAAGTTTAAGGTTAGCCCAGCTACAAATAAACGCTCACTGGGAGTGTTTGTAGCTGAAATACATAATATTTTTTGGCTAAAACGGAAAGTTTAGGCAACTTCAATCTTCTCTTCTTTTAAAAGGATAAAAACTGATGAAGATAAAGGAGTAAATAATAAATAGCTTACTTGTTCCAAATCATTCATGATATCGTTTTGCGGAGGACAATTAGTTAATTCCAAAGGAAGACATGGTTGTTTATATAGGCAAGACAGACATACAAGACACGCTGCATTTAATTCGGTTATTAGCCGTTCTCTTATCAGGACCCGAATACCAAACATCCTGGAGCCTGCTAATTTATCATTAGATAATGGCTTAAGACCAGATGGCTTAACTTTTGTGCCTTGGTCTTTAGGTAAATCCTTAATTTGGTGCTTCACATATGTCTCTTCATTTCCAACAAGTTTAAATTCTGACCCGGTTGATATAGCCGGAAAAAAACAATTAAATATTCAAAATTAACAAATTTTATTTTTTTACCAATCGTTATCTCTTCCCTTGGACATATGTCATGCGGAACTTTAAAATTTTTAAAAAATATAGGCGAAAGAATTTTATTTTTTAAAACAAAATATACATTATTCATGTTTTTTGGGAACTTGCAGTCCTACCTCTGTTTTCATAGAATGAGTTTTTTATTTTTTTATATTTTTAAAAAATGCATTAAAAATAAATTTTAAATTATATCAATCATATTCTGTCTATGTATATAATATATAAAATTTAATGATTTTTATTTAGAACAATCTAAATATTAACTGGTTAATTAGTTATATTATATAAAATAAAAATAATTAATATTAAAATCAAATGTCGTTTTATATGGGAACTTGAAGATTTTGAAACTGGTATAATATTTTTTGGGCACATTTTACATTTGGTAATTATTGAATTAGTTCCTTCAATATAGGAGTAACTGAAAATATTTATATATTTTGGTCATGGTCAGTGTTGTTAAACGCTACTTTTAAAAGTAGCGCGCTATCAGCTACTTTTTACGTAACTTTATTTCCACAAATAAAATATTGGTATAAAAACATGACTATAATTTGTTACATATATATATATATAATTTAATTACTATTGCACTTTAATAATAATAACATTTCGGTACTGTCATCCCCAAGTCTAGAGCGACGATCAGAGAGTATAAGCTTTGCCATACTAAATAATCGTTCAGCACTAGCACTTGAGAGCAACGAAGTATTAAATTTAATAAACACACTTTCTATATGAAAAAAATCATCAAAAATATTTAAATGAGTATTTTTAGATTTAAAAAAAGCATCTAGAGGTTCAATAATATTATTATTATTTATTTCAAAAAAATCGTCTATGGAAGGCCGCGGTTTCAATCTTGCTATAGTATTAGTATCGTGGTTAGGCATGACATTTTTTAACGTTACCATCAGCCTATCAAGTTGCCCTTTAGATTCAGTCAAATTAATGTATGGCCAATTAAACTTGAAACTAGTATGAATGATAGCAGCTATTACTTATCATCATCATACAGATCTGGAAATCTAATTTATATAAAGCGATTGTATTTATTATAAAAAAAAGAAGAATACCTTTTTAATTTTCAAAATTTAAATTTATCTGAGATTTAGATTCATTTATAAAAAAATATTTAAATAGCATATGGTAAATAAAGATTTTAAAAATATAATTATTATACACAAGGTAATTAATAATATATTAATTTTGAATTTTATATTAATACTATATATTAATATTATAAATTGTGTTGTAAATTAAGCCAATTTAAATTATGGCTAATCAAGCAATAAATCATTCATTTTATATAATTGTATAATAGAAAATAAAAATAAAGTTTTGACCTTTTCTCAATGCCTTTTAGCATAGACTCTACCAGTGGTTGGCAAAATTTTAGATTATTGATTCTTTTGAGCTTGGTAATTAATATACTCAGTGTGGGAACATAATATCCCATGCTCATATTATCTTGCCCTTCCAAGATTTTAAGTGAGGCAGCAACATATTGCATAACCTAAGAAATTAAAATGGTTAAATATAATATAAAATTATTTATTAAATAAAAATACTTCAGTATATTCTTTAATAAAAGTATGCTCCTCCACATTAAAATACTGTATTCCTATTTGATTCAATATATAATTGATTTTTATTTTTTTCTCATCTAGAAACAATGCTAAAAGTTTCATAGCATTCATTATAAACACTATTCCATCTTGTAGTGTTTGGTGTATAATAAATAACGTCCATTTTTTTGAAAATATCAGACATCTTAGATGACTTATTTTGTTTATTCCAAATAGCTTGGCATTTAGAAAATGTAGATCCTGATACTCTTTTAAAATCCTCATTTAATAAAGCTTCTTCAGCATCCACTGTCGCAACTAAACTTAGGTTGTGGCAGGAACAACGATGGTGGCTAGACATAGAAGAGTTTATTGAAGATCCTATAATATTATAAATTTTATTTTATATTGCTGAAAAATTAAATATAAAATAATTTAAAACCAAGGATGTCGTGAACATCAATTATCTCACACTCCATTATTTCATCATCCTCTCCTTTTAATTGTTCTCCATTTTCAATATTATTGTCATTAATTTTACAAGCATTGTTTTTATCTTCACCAAATATTCTATATTTATATCATATTATAAAAAAATTATAATAAATTTAAAACCTGAAAGCCTTCAGTAAATTAGTTTCAATATTATTGTCATTAATTTTACAAGCATTGTTATTATCTTCACCAAATATTCTATATTTATATCATATTATAAAAAAATTATAATAAATTTAAAACCTGAAAGCCTTCAGTAAATTAGATCCATTACCTGTAATCATATTATAAACCTTGTACTGAATTTTGTAAGACATATGGATTTCTGAAATAATATTTGCTAGAATGTCATAAACCTGACAGCCAATTATTCTTTTTAGAGCTAATGCTGCAGATTTTCGTTTTGGATGTAATAGCTGCCAGTGTTGTTAAAATAGCATGCTACTTTTATCAGTAGCGGTAGCTTTAGCAGGCTACTTTTTTTAGAAAATAGCGATAGCAGTAGCTCGCTACTTTCAATTTTACAAAATACATCTAAAAATTATTATAATATATTTTTTATTAAATCTAAAATTATAATCCTTTTATTTAATTTAATTTTGAAATTTAAATTGATATTTAAAAATATACATTATAAATCTAGTTATTAAAAATGTGTGAGATTGTTGAAGATATCGAAATTTCTATGGAAAATGAGAAAAATATAGATTATCCTTTCCCAAAATTCAAAAAATACTTTAATCTTGAAGAAAAAATTACTACTGGATATCGGTAATGCAAGATATGTCGCAAAATTTTATCCTCAAATCATACAAGCAGCTTTAATTTGAAAAAACATTTAAAGGTAATATATTAAACAAATTTAATATCAATGTGTAGGCTAATCCTTAATTTTTAAAATAATTTAAATCAAAGACTAATCATTTTTTTTATATATTCATAAATTTTATCTAAATTATTTAAAACATTTTAAAATAGTTATTTTAATCATTTTTATGTACTTATCTCCTACATAATTTTTATTTTAAGTATTAGTGTTATATTTTTAAACTATTCACACCTCAAATTATAAAGAGATCGAAAAATATCTCAAAAGTTTTGGGGTAATGGAAGAAGATACATCCACTTCCAAATCAAATTTAATTCAAACAAAATTAAGCGATTTGGATTCATCAACACCAGGGGTATCTCAAAAATTGGCTGACAAAGTAATCATGAAATTTATAATAGATACTGTTCAACCATTATCCTTGGTGGATAATGGTTCTTTTATAAAGATGATAAACACTTTTTCTCCACGTACCAAAATATTTTGCCGGCAGACATTGATGGCTAGAATTTTGGATAGCTTTAAAGAAATGAAAGAATCTTTAATATTAAATCTATCAGATGTCTCCTACATTTGTACAACAGGAGATTGCTGGACACAATAGAAGGTAAAAATATTTATTTTCTGATTTATAATATGATATTCATATTTTTAGAGCTATTTAGGAGTGACCGCACATTGGATTGATCCTAAAAATCTAAAACGAAATCTGCAGCATTAGCTCTAAAAAAAATAATTGGCTGTCAGAATTATGACATTCTAGCAGATATTATTTCAGAAATCCATATGTCTTACAAAATTCAGAACAAGGTTTGTAAGATGATTACAGATAATGGGTCTAATTTCCTGAAGGCTATCAGGTTTTAAATTTATTATATTTTTTTTATATGATATAAATATAGAATATTTGGTGAAGATAATAACAATACTTGTAATATTCATGACAATAATATTGAAGTTGGAGAACAATTAAAGGAAGAGGATGATGAAATAATGGAGTTTGAGATAATTGATGTTCATGACATCCT